TCAGCCAATGAAAACCTTATGGATCACAATGTTCTGATTTGTAATGGATCAAGGGGATAGCAAGGACCCAGCAATGTTTTGCTCCACTGTGCATGAGGTTGCCACGAGTCAGGGGTCAACTTGCCGGCAGCTAATAAAAATGGTTACCATGCTTACATAGTATCAAACACTATATATACATTATTTTATTTAATCTTCAAAAGGAGGCTGCCAGTTAGAAATTCCTATCCCCACTTTATAGAAGTGAAAATTATGAATTGAAGGGGTTAAATGCCTCATTCAAAGTCACCCAGAGAGTAAACTGCAGAGCCAGAATTCACACCCAACTTTGTTGACCCCAAACCTGAATGCTTAAGATCTACACTCTACTGTCTTTGAAGAGCCATATACTGGTCTCCTGTTCAGAGACAGAGATTTCTATTAGGACTTTCCATTGACCATTATTATGTGGTATCAATAAACCATTTTAATCAGGTGGTTTTAAAAATTCAGTAATTATCTCTATATAAATGGTTCATAGGAAAACAACAATCCCAATCCAGATTTTCTACGATTTAAATTTGGTGCAACAAAAATCAGAAGTCTGTCACACTGGTTCCAGACGACGTGTGAGCTGTTTACTGAGTGAGCAGTAAACAAATTAGGAGAGAACTATGAGAGAGCTAGGCAAGTCTTAACAGGAAAACGCACAAGGAGCAGAAGTAAATTCTTGCAATTTTGACCAACTAGGTCAGATGTTAACTGAGATTAGTATTTCCAGCCCAATATTAAATGTAAAAAAACTCCCTTGCCAGAAAGCTGGACAAGAAATAAGTCAGAAATTTTGGACACTTGGAAACTTTAGCTTTTTATTTCATGAACTTCTGTATTACTTGCTAATTTCACAATGGGCAAGGATTACTTTTAAAATAACGCAAAATTAAACAATAATAAAACTCCAAGACTCTTAAAATAAGATGATGGAAAGAAAAAAAAAAAGGCCAGAGTCTGCATTTGCTTTCATTCTGGTGAATCCTGAGACACAGATTTGCCTTCTGTGGCTTAGAATTTGATTTTCAAGTTACTGATTTACTAATAATATAAAATTTGGAATGGCCCAATTTACCCAGATTACATCCTCATGGGAATGGAATTTAAACAGGGAGTGTTCAAGGAGGAATGAGCCTAGTGCCCCAGATAATTATCACTGATGCCGGGGAGAGCTAGGCTAGGTGAGGGAGCACATTTACTGACTGGACCTAATGACTGCACAAAATTCTCCTCTTAACTCAGTTTTATGACACTTAGATCCTTTTTATAAAGACATGCTGTCAAACACTAATACTAAAAATTTCGCTGGATTTGTATGCATTAAATTCACCTATCAAGTATTTTTAAATGGTTATTTTTAATGAATATATTTGTCTTTGCCTGGATGAAATATTAGGACATTTTATTTTAACATCACAGCATTTAAGCTTCTTGTCTTGGTATGATTACTGTCTTTCACTGAGAATCAGGAGTAGGATAGAGCAATCCAATGGGGACGCTACTCATCTGACAGAGGTGGTATTGACTCAGATGTTGACTTTTCTAACTGAAGAAATGAACTAGCTTGTGAGATTAAAAAACAAAGAAAAAAATAAAATAAAAGAAAGAGGACATCAACTTGGTATCATTCACGATTGCATGACAGATGAAGTTAGAGGGAACAATGATTTAGAGACAGCAATTGGAAGTAAAGTCATACCCCATTGTATGGAAAACCATATCCATTCTATAGGAAAAGACAGACAAGTAAAGTCTCAAGGAAGAGGGAGATATATATGGATATAAACTAAATAAACTGCATGCTATCCTCAGGTTTAGGAAGAATCACAAGCAAAATAAACAAAATACAAAGCAAATAGGTTTACCTACTTGAATCTCCCAAAGGTTACCACTTATTTCCTCATTAAATTATAGAGAAAATAAGAAGGGATATTTCTCTTAAGTGGCTGTGCCACAGATGAAGTAGAACGTGCAAGGAGTACACTGGTATTGATAACCCTTACTCAGGATATGAACACAAAGTCCACAGTTACCTCTGACACACAGATTACTCACTGGTTGTATTCCATGCATAAATCTATTATCAAAAATATCACTGAAATCGGAGATTAAAGAAGTCCAGCTGATTCCCCACCCTGAATTTGTGGGAATGCTCCTTACAATGCAGTTTTTAACTATATGAAACAGAATGTTCTCTTAGATATACAAACTTCCCTTTTACATTGTTATGGTAATAAGCAGACTGCTTAACTACCAAAACCTTTTCAGAGAAAGAGAACACTGTGACACACATTCTGGGTAAGAGGAACAGCATTATCTCATTGATTTAAGTTCCTGTTCCCTTCTACTTGTCATGGCCACATGTGCTTTCTGTGGTCAAATTCTGTAAATCGTCATAAAAAGTATAGAGAGAAACATATTTCAAAGCCTATCAAATAATTATTTAGCAAAAGACGACCATGTTATAAGAAAGATTGAGGACCATGAGTGTCACTAAAAAGTAAAACTCTTCAGCAATATTTAAACCAGAGACTTGAAAGCCTCTAAAAAATGAAAAGAGAAAGAAAAATAAAACTGGAAGCCACCAACTGGGGTCTGCAGCTTTTCCCTCTGTAAGGATCTGTATAGGTTCTGTCAAGTCATTAAAGAATAGTGATAATGTTGGATGCGCTATTCAGGCTGATTAAATCACCTAATCTCTGACAGTGGAGATTTGAAGATATGTTCATTATGTGGAGTGCAGAAAAGGAGTGGAAAAGTTCTTGAGTTTCCTCTTTTTTTTTTTTTTTGGTTGGGGAAGAAAAAACATTGACTTGAATTGCACATGCGTACTGTGTATCTTGGGAGTGGAGCTGGTAGAAGGAGGAGAAAATAGAATTCTCTTTATTTTGGGATTAAAAAAACAAGAGAGATTTTATTTATTTGTTTCTTTGTTTGTTTTCATTTTGCTTGGGGGCCCAGTCTCTAAAATTCCCATTTAAACCATGGAGGGGCTCTTTTCCGCAATTTTATTAACTAAAACTTCTCACACAAGATTCTCCAGGGGACCATGGATTACTGAGTAGATGCCATAAATCAAGCCCTAATGTAAAACAATCGCTGGTGTAATTTTCTGTCTTAGAGAACAGCATGCCTGTGTTGAGGACAGCACTAAGACTTGCGTTAGATACGAACCATGTCAAACTGGGATTTCTATATAAGTAACACTTGCAGCATCTCTGACATTCCTGAAATTCTGTATAGCTTTAGACTTTATTGCTGTTGTTGGGTGCTGTCAAGTTGGTTTTCGACTCATAGAGACCCTATGTGACACAGCAGAACTGTCCCATAGGGTTTTCTGGGCTGTAATCCTTATGGGAGCAGATCACCAGATCAGATCACTCTCAAAGAGCCACTGGGTGGGCTCAAACCGCCAGCCTTTTGGTTACTGCCTACCTTTCACTTAGATTTAGCCTTTAGAAACTTTTAAAGGTAATGACAACTTTAAAGACGTGAGAAACTGAGAAAATCATAGGCAGATTATTTGGTAATTTATTTTCAAATTAACAAATATATATACTTGTATTATGTGTGAAGTGCTATTGTAAATTATTTGAAAATTGAGGAGAAGAAATAATGATGAGTTGGAGAAGATCCTTATCTGTAAGGAGCTTATAATCTAATTGGGAAGCAAAAAGTAAAATCAAAACACAAAAGTCAAATAACCAAAATGGAATGAAGGATGATTTGATATATTATTACATGATTTATTGTCAAATAGTGTCTAGGCCAGAGGTCATCAACCTGGCTGGGCAATCAGAATTATATGGAGAAGCTTAAAAAAAAAAATGCTTGGGTTCTATCTCAGACCTGAATTAAATTCCTGGGTAAGGTGTGTAAGGATCGAACAAAACCAAACCTGTTACCACTGAGTTGATTCTGACTCACAGCGACCCTATAAGACAGAGTAGAACTGCCCAATACGGTTTCCAAGGAGCGGCTGGTGGATTCAAACTGCCAACCAGGGCTCTGTGTGTGGGCAGGGGGTTGTAAATCCAGAGAATGAAGAGGACTGGGGGGCGAGACTTAGCATCCTATATTTCATAAAGCTCCCCTGGTGATCCTGATGAAAACAATTTGGCACAGCTAAGCGGATCAGCGTTTGAGATCACTGACGTGCACCAGAATGGCACCACTGGAAAAACATACTTCTACCAGTAAAGGTGGCAGGTAGACCAAATGTGCTTTGAGCTATGTATGATTTCCAGTGGAAACTACAATTTTTCTATACCTACTGAAATCTAGCACATGGAGGTTTAGAAATACGAGCCTAGATCATTAGAGTGAGAGGAATGGGTGCAGCTTAAAGGCTTCAAGGAATGGGAGCATGCACTTGGTTTTAAAGGAAAGATTTCTCTTGCCTAACTTAGAAAAGTTTGCCAAAGAGGAACAGCATGTAGTCAGGAAAGTAAAACTGGGTTTGAAGCATGACACACTGAAAAGCTGTTTAGAAGAGAAGGTTCATACGGGGCAATGCCAGACTGTGGAGAGGATCAGATTCCTGACTTGGTTGCAACTGTGTTTTTACTATGGAAAAAAAGTGAGTATCAAGTCTAGGATTTAACCTCAATTCAACAAACTCTATGTTACTTTTGTTTCTTTAAGCTACCCTCAAAAATGTTAGTGTTTTATTATTTTCATTATAAACTGCACATCTAGGATACATTCTTGGCTGTAAATTTTTGTTTCTTCTTCGTATTTCTCCTTTAAAGAGGGTTATAGGCTGTTTGGCTGGTCTTATTTAACTCTCATACTTAACAGAGAGAAGTCACCGTGATCTTGTGTTGATGACATAAAATATTCGTGGACAAGATGCCATTATTCAGAATGCCAGAAAGAAAGGATGAATTTCCAAGATGATTATCAGTGTTACTTAAGATTTAGTGGTTGGGATTTATGCAACTTGAACCAAATGCCAGTATTATGGTTACCTGAGTGAGTGATTCCTGGTAAGATCAGGTTGACGCTCTTGTAGAATTTCAAAGATATTGGGTTGACGCAGAAATGCAACAATCTTGTCATTGTAAGCTGAAAACATCAATTAGAAAAGAAAAGAAAAGAAAAGAAACATCTTTTATTAGTCTTATGTATATGACTATATTTGTTACATGTAACAAAATCTTTTTCTGGTTACTATTTCTTGTACTCAAAGATGTAGTTTAGGGTCAATATAGATGGTTAAATTCCAACGTGTCTAGCTCACCATATGATTTTTGGACTTACATCTATTATACGTAGCTCACTTAAGCATTTTTATTAAACTCATTTGATGAGCCATGTTTATCATCGAATTGCAATATGAGATCAGTAAGATTCTAGATATTGATCATTTTAAGCAACTGCTTACCAAAATCAATCTCACAAGCAATTGCCAGAAATGGAAAACTATCTTTTGATTAAATGTCAGTCAGCCAGAGAGGTAAAGTGGTAGAGCTAGAGTCACCAAAATGCTGTAGTTGCCACCAACAACTACCACCAAAATAGAGGTCAAATCATTCCCAAATGCTGTGTAATAAATGCCATTAAACCATGCATAGTTCTTTACCAAACCAACTATACCAACAGCTTCAACACAGTCAGCATTATCAATTATGTACAAAATATGTTAAAAAAAAATCTATGTCCTACTCAAGGCTGGCTAATGTCCATAAAAATTTAAAGCTAGCTTATTAAAATTAAGGTCTCTGTTAATACCTCTTTTGTCAAGAAAACTAATTTGTTTACTTAAGGTGATTCATTTTGATTACATTTACTAATAATACGGAACAGTCATAGATACATTTCAATTCATAAAACTAAAACTGAGGGCCTGAATTCTCAAACATCAGGGGTCCTCGTTCAGTAAACACTTTTGTGTTCATAAGTGTAATCAAGATACATGCCTTTCGTGAACTAACAAATGATCGCTGCTGTTATTAGGTGTCATTGAATGAATTCCAACTCATAGTGACCCCAATATGATAGAGTAGAACTTGCCCATAGGGTTTTCCAGGCTGTAATCTTTACAGGAGCAGATTGCAAGGTCTTTCTCCCACAGAGCTGTTGGGTGAGTTTAAATTACTGGCCTTTCAGTTAGCAGCTGAGTGTTTTAACTATTGCACCAGTGTGGTGCCTTAACAAACAATTAAACAAGTATAATTCTGTAGACATTTGTCAGTTCAAATTTTAGCTGTACTATGCTATCTATAACCTTATAGGGAAATTCTACTCTGTACTATAGGGTCGCTATGAGTCGGAACTGACTCTATGGCAATGGGTTTGGTTGGTTTTTATGCTATCCATAAATACACATTTCAGTTAAATGTTGAACAAAATGTAAAAAAAATACCATCTGCTAACACAGAATCTCACTGCCAAGTCAAAGTGTCCTAAATGCACATCTCACCACATTATAATGAATAATAAAAACACTTTTATAACTGAAATCTGGTCAATGGGATTATTTTCATCCAAGATCAGAGACTAGATAAATTTTTAAGCAACGATTGTATAGTGCTTTAAAATTCTATGTGCAGAACTTAGTATATTATTAACAGTATAATAAAATGTAGATTGTTAGACTTCAACCCTAGAAATTTTCTTATTTAGTGGTTGTCAAACTTCTTTAAGCCATGGACATTAGATTACATTCCATGATAAAGTTTTAAAAAAAATGTAAAAATTTTATAACAAAAAAGATGAATGGGGAGCTACTCTAATTCAAGGAAAAAGCACCCCCACCCCCACTCTGTCCACTCCACATGCCTGAGGGGCTCCAGTGTGAAAACACACTGCACTACTTCAATTTGATCATTTTAATAACTTAAGTTGTTTTTTAGGTCTATTTTCCCATGTTTGTTAATTTTACTATTTTTGAGGCTCTCGATGCCTTCTATTTGTTATAAACCCCTTAAGATTGTGCCATCATTGCTTGCTTATTTTGTAAGGCTACTATAGACACACACCATTCAAATTCTGTCTCAAGCCTTCGATATATACTAAGTATATGACTGTTCAAATGCTTAATTTGTAATGATCACATGATATAAATGCTTTAATAAATTATTCTTCCTTGATTTCAAAATTTAATATAATACCTCTACTCAGAAAAGGTAAGGAAAAGGAAAAGGCTTACTAGACATAAACCCTTTGAGATTCAAGTCTCTAGAATTTTATTATATATTGCTTAAAGATAATGCAACAATTTCTCAATACAGGGCAAAAAGTAGCAGGCTGACAAGAGGGAAGTAGCACAGTATGCATGGATACACGGACATCTCAAGCAAAGATAAAAATTTCTGGAAAAGGGTGACATACCCACTGGAACCATGTCCTGGTACTGTGGCCTACTGACTGCATTGAATGTACTGGATGGCCTGGGAAGAACTGGCGGTCCTGAATGTCGGGAATCTTCTCCTACCTGCAAATACAAGCATCATTTATGTTCTGCACCAAGAGCTAGAATGCTTTATATCGGCACCTCCAGCCAAGTTGTTCAAAATACTTAACAATGAGCATGGCAAAGTACCAACCGATCAGAATAGATGCCAGCTGTGGAGCTGAAGTAAAGTTCTCTTGATAGCCCTCCTTTAGTTCTGAATTGAGGGAAGGGCTGGGGCAACTGTATCCTTGACAGGGGCCAGGGTCGTGACTGTTTACCAAGTGGTACAGAAATAGTTCAATATGTCTGCGATTACTAGGGCTATAATAGCTAAATAGCAGACCTGTTCATCAGGAATAACTTCTGCACTGACGGAATACAAATCTGCAATGAAACAATCAAAGAGGAGAACGAGGGGAGGTGGGTACAAAATATACTGATGCAATGCCTAGATAGTTCCTCTTTTAGCCATGACATGCCAGGGAATTCCTTACCTCAGCAAAGGAGGGGTGGAAAGACAACAATTTTTGTGTGCATTTCTTTGTCAGTGTATTATCTCCTTAGAAGCAATTTTATATGCCTATTACAGCATCCTGTACAGCAGCTCTTTCTGGTTTGAACCTACCACACCAGAAGCTAACAGCAGCAAGTAGAGGACGTAAATAGAGTTGCTTTAACCTAAATTATTTATTGTATCTGTTGTAGATTTAGAAACTCATACATTCAAATAGATAACCAAAACTATCCATTCATATTCTTATAGAAAATTCTAACATTGCTTCAGTCTGTTTTAGCCTTTCTCTCCTGCACATCATACAAATCTTTTAAGACAATAGTAGAACAGTGGTATAAGAAAGTAAGAGAACAAAAGACAAAATAGCATACAAAATGGAGCTTCTACTCCTACTCACTGAAACCTTCACAACCATTTTATCATAATGCTTCATTTAGGTGTTTGGTGAGGATTCTACTAAAAGCCCTGAAACTAGACATATTCTCCTCACCCTCCACTGCTTGCTTATCTTTCAAGAATGTTCTCACTCATTCTTCAAAGCTTAGTTCAAAAGTACCTCCTCGGTGAAGCCTTCCCTTCCCTTCCCTTCGAGCTGAAGTTAATGTGACTGTCTCCGTCTCTGAGCTCCCACAGCACTTGGTGTACATTTCTAAAGCAGCTGCCATTGTTAACAGTTTATACAGCATTTTTTACTCATATTTTTATCCATGTGTATTACGGTTACTTCCATATTTTCTCTCCCTAACAGAGCGCAGGAAGCATGGATTATGTATTTGTATCTCTCACAGCACCACTCATCATGTTTGCATATTATAGGTATTAGGTAAATATTAATTTGTTGGATGGAAGAGATATCATTATTTCTACTAACTGGGACAGTTGCTGAATGCGTATAAGAGGGAGGCTGGAAAGACTTGTATATGTAACTAGAAACTTTCTCCTTCTTCTTCTCTTGGGTTATTGGCTTTGAGTAATGAGGCCAGTCACTCTCTTGGGAGATTCGATCATTAACTAGACATTTTTTGTCAGTCAGAGGACTTACTTCGATACACCAACATATACTTTCCTTCTGTCGGTATGTTGCGATGTGCTATCATTTCTCAGAACGATCGAAGGTCTTCTCCCCAAGACCTCACTCAAACCAGACTGTCACACAATGGACAACCCCCTGGATAAATGTGGGTAGCGAGGCAGGGTGTCCATGCTTCCAACAGCTGTGTCAGAAAAGTGTATTCCCCTCAAAGGGCTAACAGTGTTGTAGCTAAAGGCTGTCTTCATGGAATTATCTCTGTTCTATTGGTCTGTTTCCATTAATGTGAGGAAACATCATCATTCAAATTTTAATGTGTATCTTAGGGTCCCTCTCCCACAACAGGCTACTACTAGACCATGAAAATAACTCAAGTTTTGAGGTAGAGGGGTTCAAAGAAAATGTGAATATAGCTGTTAATCTCACTCATGTTTTCCCAGGAAAATACTCCTGACTAGACCTCACAACCATCGTGAGGATGGCACGGGACCGGGCAGTGTTTCCTTCTGCTGTAAAATGGGGTCACTATGAGTTGGAAACAACTTGACAGCACCTAACAACAAAAGACCTAACAGCATCATATTGTGAAGTCAAGATAGGGCAAGCAGTTAAAGTGAACTAGCCATGTGACAAAGCCAGGCAGGGCCTAATTATGCTAGGTAACACGCATCAGGTCCAAAGGTGAGAGGTCTGTTCTGCTTTTAAGGTGAATGCTGCTAGCATCATCCAGTTCACCAATAGTTTATATGATAACAAGGTAAAGATTTATTAGCTACTCATAAAACACAAATATTTTTTGCATACCTCATCCTGCAATAGATTTATATATCATTTTTTTATTAGCTTCTCGTATATACTCTTCTATGTTTGCAGCTTACAACGCAAACACACAAGACACATTAGAGCAGGTATGTAAATCATTAGGGGAAATTCCAAGAGTGGAATTTTGATAAATCAAATCCAGTTATTTACTGCATTCATAATTTTTTTCTTATAATATGGGCTACAAAAATATTTGACTTATGGCATAACATTGAGTATATCATATGCACAAACACTGAAAAGGCAAGCATGAAAAGAATTTTAATTCTATTTATCTGGGGGAATTTTTAATAAAAATGTACATCAAGTGATGATATCCATTTAAAGCATAAGCCCATATTAAGGAGAAAAAAATGTGACCTAAGACATTCCTTTTACTTATTTATGCTGCTAAAGGAAAAAGTGAAACAGGAAGAGTTTTTTTGTTGTTGGAATATTAGAGAGCCCTCATGTGGTTATCACAGGCTACTGCAAATTGGCAAATAATGCACAGTAGAGTTTTTAGTAGTTCTTAATTCAGCCCATTTTCTCCAGGCACTTACAGTACATAAAACAACTCTCTTGGATATAGCCTAATTTTAAAGAATAATAGTAAAGATTCTACAACCCCATAATCCTTGTCCAAAGATTTTAATCTAATTCAGCAACTCCATTTAAAAAACTCTTCCCTATATTTAACCTGATTTTAGTCCGTGAAAAATCATAGTCATTTCTTCCTGTGAAGCTGTCGTCTGGTGTGCAAAAGGGCTTATCAACATCCTCTCTTGGACAATTTATCACATTATGACTTATCTCTCACCTTCTTCTGAGTTAAAAAAAAAAAATCCCTAATTTCTTCAATCTTTCCTATTTTGAAATTTGTCATTTAGGCTGTATGTATTTCCAGAGACACCCTGGTAACATTCCAAAGCTTTTCGGCTTTTCAATGATAATCTCTAAATCAAACTAGGGAAAATCAAAACAAAACAAACAAACAAAAGATACCACAATGAAAAGCCAACTTAATCTCACAAACCATCACATTACCATAGCTCCTATCATCCAACAGGACAGTCCCTAAGACACATGACTTACCTCACCCGCACTATGACTGCGCTGCCTGGTCAAGTGCTGTCGATGAACCAACGCACTTGTGGGTCTACTGCTTTGAAGTGGGAGCCGAGGATCGATGAAAGTAGTGGTACGGGAATTGTGGTCGACAAAAAATGCCTAGGAAACAATCCACTCGGTCAGCAGTCAGTGCATACCACATTTATGCTTATGTCTTAGTGACTTATAACATCACACATGCAGGAAAATACTCACTTTGAGAAATGATCTTAGCTTTATTTTCTCATAATTTTAAATATATGAGCATGTCTCCTTATCCTCTTAGGACAGACCAGAATAGAAAAAGCCATACTAAGATAGGATCCACAGGAAGAAAGTAGGAAGGAACATTATTTCTGAGATATGATCTTATAAGGAAGCCATAAGAATGGATACTTGGGCTTCTCTTAACTGATGTTCTTTAAGTTCCTACTTCTACCTATGGCTATAACAAAGTTCTTCTTGTTACGTGAAACTTTAAACATCATTGACATTTTCTGTTTTAATCTCCTGTGCTGTCAGGCACCAAGTCTTCCCCATTTTCCCACCGTAGTGTGCCCCCTACTTGTCACCTTCCAAACTGACTACCATCCCATTATTTCAGGGCTTTCTTTTACGCATGTAAATACGAGTAGCTACCTGGTTGCTTCCACATCTCTATCACCTTTATTAACTTACCTGGAACCTCACTGTAAGAGTATGCTTTCTAAACACTTTGATTATATGACCACATCAATCCAAAGCCTCTAATGTCTACCCAATATCTATAGAAAAAACACCTCAACTCTTTGCTCAGCTTTTCAAGACACTTTAAAAATCTCCTTCTTACCTGCCTTTCCAGTCTGGTCATCCACTACACACCTATGCAAACTCTATCAAATAATGACTATGACTTTGGCCAAGTCACTTATGTTTCCTGAGCTGTAGACTTCTTATAAAGACATGTCTCCCTGTTTTTACCACCTATTTCTCTCCTGTAACATTAAAAACCCACTGCCATTGAGTCAATACATGAAACCATGTCTATCTTGTTTACTGCAGAATACTGGTGACATGAAACTTGAATGATCATAAACCATTTAACTTGGTGTTACAGTGAAGATCAAATATAATATACAAGAACATTTTTTGTCTGTTTAATCCTAAAGCTCTACATAAGCGCTATTTATCGTTATTATTGGGGGCCAAATGATATAAGTGTTCAAAGTAAAATCACTCAAGGTAATAATGAAACCCATTATCTCAAGGAAAATTAGAAAATATGAGTTTTCCAGATGAGATAACGTTAATTAGGTCATCAAAGATAAAAAGAAACTATTAGCAGAGCCAAAAGAATCATCACCTATATAAAGCCAGGTGCCAGGGAACATGATACGTGCCAAATAACCTAGGCAAAAATGAACCAACCTTTCAAACTGAAAGAGCTCAGTTAACAACACACCTTAAAGACTAGGGAGGAATATATATAGGCAAATCCCAGGGGCAAATAGCATATTTATGCCTGTAAAAAAATCACTTTCCCATTATGAAACACAATGTTTCCTGCATGTAAATAACCAGTAAATGGGGTGAAATAATTTGTAGGTAGCTTGAAGATAGGAAAAAAAAATAAAGACTTCTTTGTAAAAAAAAAAAACGCTCTAAAATCAAGCACCAGATGCACTAGAAAACAAATCAGAGAAGCAGACTGAGTAAGAATCTTTTCCTTCCCCCTCTCAATATCCAACTGACAGAGCACAAAGACTAGATTAAATGGAGGTCTGTGTGAGATGGTGTTGTCAGCCTCAAATCCCCAGATAATGCTCCCTCTTGCCTAATCTATCAGGTGAAACATTTTTCTTCTCACACCCTGTAAGAAGTATGACAATGATAATCCCAATACAGACTGGTATTGACAGCCTCTGGTCCCAAATGTCACACAAGTCCTCATTTGATTTAAGCTTCAAATACACTTGTACATCATTTCTGCCACTAGAGCATTTTTTCAACTATTTCTGGAAAATGTAATAAAATAGGAAGTAAATTATTTTTATAAATAGACATAGTTGACACCTATTTTAAAACAATAGGCATTATAATCAACCCATATTATCCTCTTTAGGTAAATTAAGATTAATAATCTTTTATTACTAAAACAATAAGGTAAGCCATATTGTTTAAGAAAAAAAGTACACAGAATACTAAAACAAAATTGCATATTTACTTTATTTCTTAGGAATGTTTTGAAGGGAAGGGTGACCATTTAGGGGCAACGATGACGCATTTGTAATTATAAGGACAAATCGGTGTGTATATCTAGGTCAACTGTGATTTACATGTAGTGTCATAGCATAATCTGATGTTAAGAGGCTTGTACAAAATCTATCCTGTAAAGAATTATACTATAAACTCCTTGAGGGTAAGGGCTAGTTCTTACTCACCTTGTTATCCTCTATAGTCTTCAGGGCAGTGTCTGACAGACGTAAGGTGCTCAGGAAATAATAAATGATCAAAAATTCTAATACGTAGTCTCCTGACCAAAATACAAGAGACGACTCACAGTAAACTAATCAAGCATTAAAAATCATGCTCTTTTACATAAGCAGAAAAATACTTAAAGATTTGGAAAAGAAAATGAATGAAGGGTGTGTGTGTGTGTATGCTGGATGATACAGAATGAGCAGCTAAGATTATAAAATCACAAATAGGACAGAAGGCTTTTTAAAACCCCATTGTAGATTTGAATAAACTACCAAGATAAAACTTTAGAAATTAGAGACAGAATAAAGAAGTCATGAAATGGTTAGGACAACCCTGGTTCTGAGCTCTAGCTCCACCACTTACTAGCAATGTTACCTTGGGCAAACTAAACTTTGTAAACCTCAGTGTCCTTTCTGTTAAAGGAAGGTTAAAAGAGATGATAAAAACTTTTGAACACAATGCCGGCAATCCCTCAAATGTGAGTGATAAAACCTTTTGAACATAGTGCCTGTGACCCCTCAAATGTGAGTTATTACTAATAACAGTTTTCATTTCTAAGACATTTTTCTAAGGATCACAATGTTTCTTGCTACAGTCCATACACAAGACTCAATGAGATGTAAACGGTGTCACATGGTACTTTGGGAACTATCCTTACAAGGGATGTGTGGAGTCCTCCTTTCATCCTTCAGCCATCCTGCTCCCTGATAGCTGGAGCTCCAGCAGTCCTACTGAACCATGAAGATGAGGGATGGTTGAACAAAAAGCAGGAAGCAGCCCAGGCTCTCGCAACATAGTGAACCACTTATGAGCCCTGGACTTCCCACATCTGAACTACTTTATGAAAGAGAATAAAATATTGAACATTAAACTTTGGGTCTTTCATCACAATGTAGCCAAACTCTAAGTGATAAGCAAGTCTCCACACAGAACAATAAGCCAGAAGGCACTGTTATAAATAAGGATTTTCATTATTTGATATATAATGCTATCTCATTATTGTTCACCTTTTAATACAGTTGGGTAAATATTCTCATTTTAAATGAAATGTCTAGTTGGGAACCTACAAAGCTGGGATTTGAATCCATCTGTCTGCCTGACTCTGAAGCCCAATGAGCAGTTCCTCTTACCCCCTCCCTTCTTTTCTGACATCTTCTCTTTTTTCCCCACTCTGCTTCCTACCTACTATCTTTCCCTTTTTATGTTCTTCTCACTCCCCTCACACCTCGAATAGTACTTGATCTGAGAAAAGCATTTAAATATTTGCTGAATTAGGCTGACAATAACAGTCCCTCACAGAGCTTGGCCTTGTACTGTTCCAATGCTGAAGAGGCTGCTACTGATCCCAGACAGCATACTGTATGTATGCTGCACAGTTCTCATTGCTAACCTTTGGAAGCATGGCAGTGGCTGGGGAATAGGTACTATCTGTATCTCATAAGGGGTTCAGTTTCAGAGTCAAACGGAACATGTATATTGTTTACACATGCTTTTTAAATCCGCCAAGTACTTGGGGAGAAGGTTAAGACCTCCATCAAAACCATATGCCTAAAGCGCTAACTAAAGAGCCCCGGTAGTACAGTGGTTAAGTGCTCGGCTTCTGAATGAAAGCCACAGGTTTGAATGCACCAGCCATTTCTCCGGAGACAGATACGGCAGTCTGCTTCCGTAAAGGTTACAGTCTTGCAAACCCAATGGGGTAATTCTACTCTGCCCTCTAGGGATGCAATGAGTCAGAATCGACTCAACGGCAATGGCTTTGGTTTTTGGTTTAGAGCACTAACAGAATGTAGCACTAACAAGCAATTCTTCAGCATGCATTTGGCTCTGCTCTGGGCCCACTGTGTGACCTGGGACAGGTTTCCTTAGCACTTTGCTTTTACTCAGGTCAGAGTAGAGTTGTGACAAAATATATTCTACTTTAAAACAAACAGAAAGCATAGAAAATTCACAGTGCAAATTCTAGGCTTGCCACTTCTATTTGTGACACACATTATCAATTATGTCAAGAAAGTGGATCACTTTCCCATCGGATATCCTAACTAGTTCAAGCCAGCAATTAAGCTGACCTACTACTTTTTTTTTTTTTTTTTAAATTTGGGTCGCTACTTACATCACAACTCTTGAATAGACTGCAATTATTTATGAAAGCATCTAACACATATTTATAAATACTGTTTGGATAAACAGTATGTTGACAATGCAGATGACATAAAAAAAGCAATTCTATCAAAAAATACGACTTTTTCAGATCAGTCACTAGGAGAGCAAATGTGAACACCACGGATTCCCTAGCATTAAGTTTCATTAAGGAAATTCACTCAACCTTCACAGCACCGGTCTAAAAAACATGGTCAAAAACTGAAAGGAATGCAAACACGCAAACTCAAATCTCATTTAAAAAACTTCTACCCTTTCACTGCTTCAGGGCATGGTCAAAGTCAGGAAACAGGGACTGGTTGGAGCCAAGTGGTATTTTAGTGAGGCCAAACAAAATATAGTTCTTTCTTTACATAACTTTCTTTTTTTAAAGTTTCTATTATTTTAAGAAAAGAAAAAGCCATCAGTATTTGTAAGAAATATCAACCTCAGGCTCAACAAGTCTAAGTTCCAGAAGTTTGAAATTGTTTCCAGTTACATTTTGCCAAACCAGGAATTCA